GTGTAACCAGAGTGTGCTTTTTTTGTGAAAGCAATCAGCACTTCATAAGTCCGTCTGCACGTCTGCACAGACACTTGCATGAACGGCACAGGAACTCCAGGGGTAACTAAAAGGGTTGTAAAAAATGTCTGTTACGCCCCTGGCGGTTCGTGACTTGACGCCGACGCGTGTCAAACTTTGTGTAAATGAGGACGATTATTTGCGATAGTTCTTTCTTGGGGAGATTTTTCAAGCTTTTATAAATAAAATAAAAAAACATAGTTACTCAACTATGATGAAAAACACGAAAACTACGTGGCTACTGTACAGAATATATCTCAAAAGCGCAAAATGTTTTTATGGGTTCTTGTTAACCAACCTTAGTTAGTAGAATTCATTAGAAATTTTATGCAAACTGTGTTGGACTTGGCAGAAAGCTACTTGGTAAAGTATACTTCGCCGTGGTTTCAAAAAGTCGAAAAATGGGGTCCGCTTCGTATATCACTGGAAGAAATCGCGTCCTTTAAAGGTTGTAAATTTGATGTAAATATGACGTAAGTGTCCAAAGTTCTGTAAATTTGATGTATAGTAGATGATTTCCATTAAATTTACAGAATTACATCATATTTACATCAAATTTACAACCTTTAAAGCGCACGATTTTTTTCCAGTGATAGTGTATTATTTTCCCCTTGTATTTGATATTCAAAATTTTGCTACTATTTAGCACAAAGATACATCAAAAAGAATGGCTAAAAATATTTAGGTGCTGCGTTCTATATTTTGTGAGTTTTGCTGTTCTGAAAATGTTCGATTTCCTATCGCGAAAAATTAACAATTTAGGGAAGACGGTCTACCCGTAAAAATAGGCTGGAAAAACACTAATTTAACGACTTTCGAAAAACAAAGTCGATTTTCATTACTTAATACGATAGGGCAAGTCATGGTAGAAATTTGAGGGAAAACTATTTCTGAGCCGAAATTCATCGGACCGCTTTTATACAGAGACTGCCTCTTACTTAATTGTTCACGCTCAGTTTTTAAACAATTTTTATAGAATATATATGGTAAAATTTCATAAGGAGGCTTGTCGGAAAAAGTATTGTGGGAATGGAGGGGGGCTGTGTGCTGCTCCGCGGTCCATGTCGAAATCCTCTTATTTTAGAGCCGCAAAGCGGCGGAACGTTTCCGTCAAAAATTCCAGGAACAGGAAGTTCCGGTAAAATAGGCGCCTGGCCAGGCCATGCCTYATTACGCATGACAGCGAATGTGTGCTTTGTGTCRGCAATCATGCGGCACAATGTCCATTTTCTACAATCACAAGAAATACACTATTTCATATCATTGAACTGACAATATTGAACAAAGGGATAAAGGTAATCTTACTTTTTATATTTCAACTCAAAAACGTCTCTGTTAGATTATGGTTATGAGTCACGCTAGGGAGGAATGAAAGTTTAGCTGTCACAGCTCACTGGGCTACAACTTAGTGAAAAAACAACCTTGGTATAGATATTATAYGGGATATMTTCGTAAAATTGTTTGTCTTTTGATGGTTGATTAGTGCAACTCCTAAGAGAAAAATATTKCAAAGAAACAAACAATTCAGCACAAAGGAGCTAAAATATGGAGGTCCGGTATCGCGATTAAGTGAATCTGAATCTTCTGAAGTAAGCGTATTGAAATATCACGAGTTTTAAGCTTATCTACATTTCTATAAGTTAAATATTTTAGCACACAATTTAGGCTAACACAGCGTAAAAGAGATCGCGAAACTCAACTATTCTGTATTAATTCGGTTGTAGTAAAACAAATATGCTAATGCTAGACGGAAAAGTTTGTAGTGATTTTAATAGTAGGTTGAAGTGCAGGTGAAATTATTTTTGGTGGAGTTGAGTTTATGAGTATTTTGTACTCTGAATTTATTGACATTRGTAGATTTTGTTCAGTTGGACGAACTTACTATGACTGCAAACTTCTCCAGAACTGCATGTAAGCAATTAGATTAGACGCAGCAAAAGATCGACGTATGAAACGGGCCATATAATAAAATGGTTCCGATTAAATTGTCGTTCCTAAGAAATGTTGAACCTTCTCCTAATAGGGAAGACTCTAAATCATGTTGATTGCTTTTTACTTGCTAGTTGCGTACCACGAAAATCAATATCCTGTTTAAACACTTTTGACGTTATCAAGCAATCACCTAAAAAACCTACTTTGAAACAGCAAATACACCTTATAGATTGTAAGTTATATTAACTTTAAGAGACTCCTCAATAATAAATAATAATTATGCTATTTTCAGGTGTTTTGTCAATGATCATTGTTAATGTAAGTTGAAAATGATACGTTTATTTGCCATGGTAAGTTGATAAAAATCTAGAGTTTTAAACCATAGACTTTAAGTTTAGTAATAATTTCTATCCAATATTCCTGGTTGTTTGATTCTGTTAACATTGTGCATTCGCAATTAACATAGGTTTCATTTCCTAAAAAAAGCTGACCATATTGATGCAGCATCATCTGTCATTTCTATTGCAACTGATGTAACCAGTCCAGAGAAAACTTTGGAACTGTAATTAGCACAAGACTGGCTGTTAATCTCCTTGGTTTGTTACTTCAGTCTAATGATAATTTTGCAGTATGCCACAAAATCTGTCTAGGCTAGTCACACAGCAATGGAAATGACAGAGATCTATATAATAAATGTACTTTATAGCTAGTAAGTCAAATAATGAGCTTAATCTTGCAAAATGAGGTTAAGTCTGTCAACTGCCAATTTCGTCTCTGTCATTTTTGTCCATCTAAGTTAGACCTCAGAGAATATGCAGACCTCAATCAGAATGCAGAGGTGTTAGACCATAAGTTATCTTTACACTGATAATATTATTACTTGTTCATGTGTGAATGTTGATTGTTTTCAGAAAAAATTTTTCCTGATATTTAATATTTTGCTGTTTCTTCTAATTGTCTTATATACTTGGGTAAACAATTTCAGCAGTAAGTAAAATTAGTTATTAATAATTAGATTATGTTTTTTGCTTTTCATGCATGCTTGCAATTCACGAGGAACATCTCAGCTCATTTCTCTATTATTTCTAAGTCTTTCAGCTTATAATCATTGATAAATTGACACCAACAACTTGGTTCATAATCTTCAGTATTTTATTAATTATAAATCATTAACATCATTATTTTGTGAATATATCATATCAAGCTATTAAAGAAATACTTGGCAACAGCATKTTTAGTCTCCTCGCAGCAGTGTTTAGTTTTGGTCATGCGGCATGTGAACATGGCTGCRAGGAGACTACWACATATTTTCTGATTTTTTTCTTCATCTTTGCAGAGCCACGCAATGCACTATACATACGGAATATTTATTATCAAGAAGCAGGTGAGTCTTGATACAGTGTTATTTCTTAATATTTATATGTAAAAGCTAAAATAATTGTGAAAATATAATAATAATAAATGCTAACGATAATACTAACTTATTCTGTGATCTCCATCAGGTTCTTTCCCTGATATATATCCCTGCTACTACACAAAGTTAAGAAAGTTAACAAATAAGACGGAGACCGAACCAAGTGCTTGTAAACCATATGTGTAAGACTATCATTTGCATGCAATTCTATGTATTTCTAATTAGTTAACAGCCCCCCCTGCCGCCCCCATCTGATGATACCCCTCCCCCCCCATCTGATGATAGTTTAGAATGGTTAATTATCAAAATTGTTGTCTTTTGTTGCTAGATCAAAAGTTATCGATCCAAAACCAAAAAGAACGTCAAGCATTTTTATGAATTTTTAGATCATTTTACTAGACTCGTACAAATGCTTCAAAGATGGTAAGAACTTTAATTATATATAGACTGRTGTTTGTTCACAGGCCTGATAAGAAGTCTTGCCAGCAGATAAATGGATATTTTGGAAGTCCAAAGGACCCTCCAGAGAATAAAAAATGTCCAGGAATACAGTATACTGATATTTGTTGGTTTGGAAAAGAAAACAAGCTATCATGTTCTTCAAGAGTTTGTGGTAGTAACACAATATTGTTGGGTAAAAGAGATATCAAATTAGGGCACATTACTACATGGACTTCAATCAATCCTTTCAGTACAGAAAAAGTCATGACATTTGTACAAGACACTCTAAAACAAGGAGATACATTCTGTTTCATGAAGTGTGGTTCAATTCTTCAAGCCCTTGTTTTCCCTCCTAAATTATTCATCAAGAAAACTGACAGCATGAAAASAAAAATAAATATAAATGTTGTTGTGTTGGACTCAATTTCCAGACCACATTTCTACCGGATGATGAAGAGATCAGTTAATGCCTTGCGAAATGTGATATACAAGGAATCAATCCCTGCAACAGCTTTGGATTTCGAACTTTTCCAAAGCATTGGCACCAGTACGTTTGAAAATATCCGTGCTTTTTTCTCAGGATTCTTTGTAGGTAAGTCTTATRCTACCTTTCATGTTATAACCCTGGCCTGTGTTTAAARACACCTCTATTTCTTTTCCAGATAACAAAGCATATGGTGACAAACAAGTTGAGCAACCAGTAGTCGGGATGAAGGTCATGTATGACCATTTCAAAAAACAAGGTTACCAAACARTATTCCAAGACGACCTGTGCTGGTACGACTCTTGGGGAACTCTTCTGAGTAATATCAAGATAACAGGAACATCTACACCAACTGCAGAAAGGTGCATTATTTTGCCCCACTCCTTCCCATTCTTTTTTTTCAATATGCGTCACAGCGGCCATCTTGGAGGAACTTCAACAAAGGATTTCTCATTAGTATCTATTGTTTATTCCTCCAACATGGCTGACAGTCTTTTATCTTTTGAATCTCACGGGAATGGTTGAAAGCGATCAATAGAGACCTGTGTGAAAACTGTTTTGTTGTGTATATATATTGATATATTAGCATTAAGATATCAGATATAAATACCCTCAACTTGTTTCAGAGAACATTGTTATTGTTCAAGTTTGGAGTCAATATGTTTCATGCCTTCCTTATACTTGCCTAAGCACTGTTAACTTGTTGATTAACAAAAGCAGGCCATGAAAAAAAGAAAAACTCCAATAAACTTGAACAGCAACAGTGTTGTGTGACAGGTTGAGGGTTTTTTTTTATCTCGAAATTCTCGACCATAAGTGTTTTTGTGTGTGTGCATGTTTAATAGGTGGACTAAGTACAAAGAGACAGCCAGTAAACAAAACATAGATCAYTATGGAAACACATTCTTTTCTTGTCAAGTTCTCAAGCAATATGGCAAAACAAATCCCTTTGGAGACCCAGAGAAAGTTTGCTTAAATGGTAAATTCTACAGTTCTTATTTTCTACACTACATCAAGACATTTTCTTACACAGTGAAAACGATGAAAAATGCTGCACCCTTTGTGTCRTACTTRCAYATTAACACTGGACACTCAGAAACTGGAAAACGAATTRGCAATATTGATGGCGTGTTAGCAGATTTCATTTACAACATGGCCAGGCAAGTTTTGATTCCATTCATTTATTCTTTATCTTAATTTCCCATTTYWKTKSWCACTCCTGTGTGAAGGCGGAACACCACTATGTTGTCGTATTGTAACAACGCAAATAAAGATTTTCGGCACAACTTCGCACGCGTGTCGGCTGAAATACGTGATTATTTCGTAGTAGTGATAGTCTCGGYTACTTTCCGACGATTCATGAATTCATCAAACCATTCGTTCATTTATTCAATTCTCAGTTATTTGTTCATCCACTAATCTTTCCACTGTGCGCTTTAGCGACCCATTCACGTGGACGATTTTTTTCGGAGACCATGGACACCGCAGRACATCATTTGCTTTGTCAACAACAAGTGGAGATTATGAACGCTATAATCCTCTGTCMTTCATGATAGTGCCTGATAAGGTGGCTGAAATACTAGGAAAAGAGAGAATGAATGCTTTATTAAACAATCAAAACCGTCTCGTCACAGTACTTGATTTGCATCGAGCGATTATGTCAATCAATGATGAAAGAAAGCTTGATTCCAACGACCCTAACGTGTCGGGTGTTCTTGCTGATATTTCAAGTAAACGCACATGCAGTGACGTACCATTGATGCCTTTGGTAAAATGTCAATGTGTTGGATCGGAAGAGAAATTTGATGACAATTCACCCAAGATGCAGTGGATAGCAGAGTTTGCTTTAGGAAAGTTGAATAACGACATCCAAAATCAATATTCAGGTGGTAAGAAAAACGTTACCTTTCTTCTTGAAATATAGAAATTAGAGTGTTTGGTAAATAACCACCCATAGTTGTGTAGAAGAAAATGTGGCTGTGCGATGAAACGGTAAATTGTACAACGTGTAAAAAGAGAGTTTGAAAAATGGTTTGAAAAATAAACGAGTAATGTAGATGCTGCCACGGTGTAATTTCCTCAATTTGACAGCACCATTTCTTGTTTTAWTCTAATTCTATATTATTTCTATATTCAGAAGGAAAGGAAATCAAAGGCTTTGGAAACTGTAGACGATTAGTTGGYACATCGTTTCGTAAGATCGTACAAACCAAATCAGGTTCTCTAACAGTATTCGACCTTCACGCAAAAGCAAACAGCCTTGAACAAGAAGAGGTGTTTAAAGTTGCTGTAGCTGTAGAAGGCAGACGAGCTGTCCTAAAGTCATTTGAACGTCAGTCTACGTATAACATATACAAAAACTGTGTTGATAAATCAGTAAACATCAAACTCTGCTCATGTAATCGGGCACTAAACGACACAAACCCAACCCGCATACTAACACTTCAAGAAATGACAGCTTTGGCAAAGACTCCAATGTTTGGCCTTGAACCTCAAATCAAGACTCTGTATGACAACTGTTTGTTACAAGTCACAAGGAACTATTTTGATGTGACRATAGTAGTGGAGGTAGCCAACGCTTGTAAAGAAAAAACATTTAATATTCGTGTTACTGGTGATATATCGAATGTGTTCTTATCCCGGACATTACCAATGGCTAATGTAGTTTATCCTAATACCTATTCGTTTATTTACGTGTCTACCAAACAAAGTGTAACGCATTTTAAACTTAAGATATCTTTAAAAGCTACTATTGCATAGAATTTTAAATTGATTAAAACATTTTCAACTGTTACAGAGTTGCTTTAGGATTTATAATTTGAATGCTTGTTTGTTTCAGAGTTTTGAATATTATTTTGTACCAGCGGACCGCCGCCCAATGATTAAATGGTCTCTATAATRACGTCATGTTTGTTTTGGCGAATTGCATTATGGTATTGATATCAAAGATGGCGGCTTTCTTGTTCTTGTTCTGAAAAGTTTCTTTGGAGAACCAATTTGATTGGTTGTCGAGAAAGCTATAGACATAAATAACGCACACAAGATTAATAAGAACAGTCTGAAGTAAGTAAGTAATGGATTTTTGCGCGCGCATTTTGAGATAGTCTCTTTCAACAGCCGCGACTTCCGGTCTCGTCAAATTTCCTCCCCAAAAGTTACTTTTGGGGAGGAAATTTGACGAGACCGGAAGTCGCGGCTGTTGAAAGAGACTAATTTTGAGATCACTGTTTGAATATTGGCTGGTGTTGGCCATCGCGCCATCAGATTAAAGTCTCGAATACACCAAATCAGAAAGGTTAATAATTCACCTATTACATATGTAAAAGTCAGAACTATACGGGCTTCTTGATGCGGAGCGAGCGAGTTAAAAAAAAGACAAATTTCACTCGCCGTTAGTTGGGAGTAACCTTACGTTTGTACCTTGTCAATCCCATAGTAAAGCCGAAAATCGCATGACTTCATTGGAAGAGAGGACCATTCAAGCAAGTGAAGTGTTCTTTTATGCCAAGTGCGAATGCACCGTCTCACGTGACGTCACAATCTGTTCACGTGACAACGACGTCAAATCACTTAGGCGATAAAAGGAGCATTCACCGACTAGTAACTTGTACATTGTACTAGTAAGAAATGACACTTGGTTGCAATATGCGTGTAAATCAAATTATACGATCCAAAATCATACGCCGTTTAATACTTGCTGCAGTAGTCTTTTGCAGTGCTGTTATGGTCTTACTTGACTACGAGTTGCTGGGAAAAGCGTCCACAGAAAATCCGTAAGTAGAAAATGTAAAATGAAAACATCACTTGGCCGCCGAAATGGCTAATGTTCTTCATTACTGTGTCGATTTAAAATTTGTTGTACGAAAATTACTTCAATTTTAGTAGTAAAACAAAATCACTTATTTTAAAGTACGGTACACTGTAGACTAGTATTATTATGAACGCATTCCCTGACATTTATAGAAATAAGGAAGYGCCTACGCCTAGATAAACGAAAACAATAGAGATACCCCAASTACTTATGGCCCTAAACCGCCATATGATTTCAAATGATTCTGAATAAAAGTTTGCTTTGAAATAAGGACAAGCACATGACGCCATAAAAAAACAAGTCGCCAATCCAATAGTTCGACTTAGATTCATTTTAATGTGGTGCGTTTTTTTCACTGTCGTTCATCAAACCAATTCCAAACTTTTCTCTCATTTGCAAAATGGCATTTATATTTCAGTAAAATCGTCATTGAAAAACCTTYAAACAATGCCTCCTCAAGTTTTGCTATCGTTTGAAACATGCTGTCAGAGTTAGTAGAGGGGACCCCTCTACTAACTCTGATGCCGTTAAAGACATCGAAAAAATCGAAAAAAAATGCGATTCCAAGGCTTGGTTTAAAGGCTTCTTCATAGAAGTACAAAAATGTCCTCACAATTAAGCTACTGGTTTGTAGACAGTCAACAAAAACACCATTAAAAAAAAGAAATATCAAAAATAAATCAATCATCAACAATAACGCCCAAACTACTATTGATTAGACCACCATTTGAAAAAGGCCTTTTTGATGAGTGTATATTTGAATGTAAATACGAGCTATCCTGGGCTTTTTACTATGTAAAGGTGAATCATGCATTCTAATAAACCTAGACGTAGAAAGTCGTTGTCCCAAGAAACAGACGTACACGTATCACTAAAGTCGATTCATTTCATATATAAGGTTGTAAAACGATAATAAATAATACCAGTGTTCTTCCTGTAATTCAGTGTTTTTCTACTTTAAACTGCGATAGGAATGGAATACACTTATCATCATCATCATCGCCATCATCATACCCCACTCGATTTTACTTTTATTGGTCAAGTAATGAAAACGAATGGAAAAAATAAACGTTATTAGGAAAAGTCTAAAGAAAGTGTAAAAAWTCCGTTTCCCATTTTAACAGTGGTAATATAAGCAATAATGTTTTTTTAATTGCAAGACACAATGCAAAATTATTGTTTACTTTGACGAAATGAAAAATTCCCAGCTTCTAAGTGAGAGTACGGCTTTGCTGAAGGAGACCGATGGGGAAAGGGCGACGGATAAGTTCCCTCTAACAAAATACAATATCTCAATTATAGCGTTACTTTTTGTTGTTTCTGGATTAATGTTTATGACCTCGAGAAAGAAAACGCGGTGCCGCTCCACGGCTTATGAAATCATCCTTACTCGGCACGCAAGRCTCAGCTTATTTTGTTTACCATGACTARATGGCGTRGAAGTGATTTAGGYAATTACCGGTCACTTGATTCAAGGGCAGTATTTTGGGGGTTTTCCTGACGCCGCWCTTGACCTATAATTCTATTCGTTTAAAACCTCTTTGCACGAAAGTATTGCATTGATTCCTAAAATGATAAAAAGTCACTTATTTCCTTCGCCTAAGGCAGCTAGATTCATTAATTCAAGTGAACGAAGGACTCCGCCGGAGGGCGTTAGATTAGTGTTATTCGAAGTATGCAAGGACGTCGGACTTCCCCCCCCCCCCCCTCTCTTATTATTGCGTTTTGTTACAAACTTGAGTCATTTGTTGATTTTTGAGTAATTGATGAAAACAGCCAATTTCCTTACTAACAATGTCATTGTATTTACATAGGATTCACAGTCACCAGAAGTGCTTACAACAAAATATTATGTACCTCAAAACCCACAAAACAGGGAGTAGTACGTTGACAAATATCCTGAATCGACACGCCGACGAAACGAACCTTTCCGTCGTTCTACCGACGTTAAGAAATCAATACAGCTTCGGCTGGCCTCGGAAATTTCAATTAAATCAAGTTGGCCCTCTGAATGAAGGTCCCAGAATCCTTTGCAATCATGCAAGGTTTAATAGGGTGCCTCTTAACGTGTTATTTCCCAAGACCTCTTCCAGGTATTTAACAATTATAAGAGAGCCCGTGTCCCACTTCGATTCGGTATTTTATTTTTTTGAGTTTCATCAGGACACRCCTTTTAAAACAATGAATGATTTTTTGAGCGCTAGGCTGCAGTACAATGAATGGTATTCTATKATAGRGGGGAATCCCCTTTTACTGCTATCAAGGAATCCCCTWATGTTCGATTTAGGCTTTCCTGTTAAATCCTACGAAAATCAAACTGCAATTCAAAACTACATTCATTTCCTTGATCAAGAATTCGATTTAGTTATTATTCTAGAACACTTTGATGAATCGCTTGTTCTGCTAAAAAGGCTGTTGTGCTGGAATATCGAAGACATATTGTACTTTAAATTAATGGAAAGACCTGACATTGAAAGGAATAAAGAACTTATAACCAGTAAATTAAGAAAGAAGATAAAAGCATGGAATCAAGCTGACGTTATGTTGTACAATCATTTTAAAGCTACTTTATGGAAAAAAATCAAAATGGAGGGAGAAGATTTCTATAAAGACTTGAGACATTTTCGATCAGAACTTCGTCGTACAAAGAAGACATGTCTTTACAAGCGACGGAAGAAGATCAAGGCGTATAGCYGTAAATACGTCATGGGCTACAGGATGAAARACGTTACAGACAGCGAAATAAAGCAAAGATGTGAACGAATGCTAATCAAAGAGAAAAGCTATGTCGACTACTTTAGAAACCAAACTAGTAACATCAATGAGGACTACATTTATCTCTAATATAACGTTTAAGTTATTGATATATTATTATATCATATATATTATATGCCATATGATTACATAGGAAAAGCAAAGAATGGTAGAGTAGTATTAAGAATATAGTGCCTCATGAACAATTCCTCTGTCCATTAACAAAATCCATTCACAGGCAGCCCAACCAACACAAAAGCAGTAAGTAGGGGAAAGCTTAACGCTTTGAGTGCTTTCAGTATATTTGAAGTAACCGGGAAGTAACCTCGCAAGGATGACTTGTCATTGTGTAAACGTAAAACTGATCCTTTAGTCTTTCCAGTCTTCTGTGGTAATGAGGGCTTTGATATACTTGAATGGTTGTAAAGCGTTTTCTTGGAACTAAGTGATGGTTTTATACGATTACAATTCATATGAAGCTGTAACGACGGGCTACATCACTGCTCTTGACACCGCTATAAAAGTCGTTAGAAATCGCGTGTCTGCGGCCCAGAAAATGAGTAATAATAAGACTTAGTATTCCACATAAAACCACAGCAAGCATAATCCATCCACCAATCTGAAAAAAACAAAAAACAAGAAACCTTGTTACACAGATAATTTGTGCTTTATGAGCGTGCACAGCGAGTGTCCTTATCAGCGACTTCACTGATCAGTTCAACATTAAAAGTAAGCCCAGTCAGTTTTTTTCGCTCATATATTATTCATAATTTTAAACTCGTAATTGACGCATTACGCATGCTCACAGAGTGAGTGTATCCCACATGGTTTCGTCAAACACACCATACCATATCCATATGCCAGATTTAAGAGAATACAACTACGAGGACCGAAAGGTAATTATACTGCTGATCGTTGAAATTTGATAACGAAAACCTTTGTAGAAATTTCGATGAATCTAGCAATTAATAAAGGGCTTTATAAACGAATAGGTTAGTTAATCTYAATTCAATGGTGTTGTGATCCCAGCAAAACCRATATTAATCCTYGAAGCAMARAAACAATACCGCAATCAACGTTTTACCGATTTATGRCTAAATCCAGGCTTTGTATTCGACRTTAGGTTGCGTGACGACGCAGCAACACGTTGGCTTACCGTTAMAAWTTCTCACTGAAATCACTAGTAATTACTACGTTTACGTAAGAATATAACGTTTTCGCAAGCATRYAGGCTAAGACAGGAACAGAAATCAAGTGCGACGTTAGYGTMTATCCGTTCTTTCCAACGTAAGCGTAAGCTGAAACGTAATCGATTCTCGTGGTCACGAAAACGCATGACAACGGACGGACGCAGCAACGGATTAACGTATCGCAAATATTTTAAGAGTCGTCTGAAAAAAAATCAATTCTATAATCTTCGGCTTTCATATTTGACCACAGGCGATGGATTGATAGTGCTAAGCATATGGTTTAGAAACATTGTCTGTAGTCAGTTAAAGAGCATAAAATATTCAACAATAATCATAAATGACTCRGAAAATGCAAACTGACTTTATAAGCTATGACGTCGTCATAAAACAGGCCAAATTGATAATAACACCATTCACACTGAAGAAACTTCAAGGGAAACTACTTTACAAACGATTAGTGKCAACACTGCTCGTGAAAAAAGGATTTTAATCATTCTAATRTCAATACATCAAGATTTTGTTGTCATTGTGTAAACAAAAATGATTTTATTGCTATATATATGAATAATGCAGCAAAAAACAGAGAATCGTACTCACATCGACATAGAAATTAATCCATCTTGCTCCATACCGATAACAGCCGTCCTTTCCACTGCAAGTTGTCTGATTTRCAAGATATTTTCCCTCCGTTAAGTTCGTATTCATTTGAGTGCTGTTTGTGATTACAGATGAGCAATTACCATTTTTGAAGACTCCTGTAGAGCTTGCGGCAAGCAGTGCAGTTGAAATTGTAGATATCGCWGTGCAGATAACTGTATTTCCATCATGGAAACAAGAAGTTGACGTAAAACGTTTTCCTGAAGTAACCGAAAATAATTGAGAGTGATGTACACCTTGCTTTGAAATACTCGTTTGGTGATCATTAAAGCTGCTAAGCAGCTTAAGAGGWCTTTGAGAAGTTGAGTTAACAAAGATAGACGAAATTAGTTTCGGTAAATGATGGATCTTGGTTGTTCCTAGTAAAGATGATTCCTTTCGTCGACCAGTCGGTTGAATCAAATCAGAGACATTTACAGCAAAACAATCCCACATCAAAGCACATAACAGTAGAATAACAACACCAGGGAACTTGACCAAGCAAAGCATTAGTAATATACAATACAATCCATAGATTTTCGCTGATTTTAGTTTAAACTAACCCCTCATGAATGTATTTTGCCAGCCTTTTTGGACTTTTTGGAGTTACATCATTAGGTGGGCGGTTGCCTGAAGAGTTTTCACGTTTTTTTCACTCAAACTTGATCGTGTGACGATGGAAGACAATGTGACAATAAACGCTTCACTTCACTACTTTAGTTTATCATTATGCATTGTCTGATAATTATAACATTTCACATATATGATAATCTATGGAAGTATTTTCTAATCAGTTTTCAGCTCATATAGTATCTCGTTATCTCTTGTTCAAGGAAAACATCTTTCATACTTCTTGGTTGCGATGAATTTTACTCAGAAAACTAAACAATCCTTGTTTATCGATTGTATAATTGAGTTTCCTGGATACGGTGGAACCCATAGAGAATATGTGCACAATTTCAAGGATTAATAATGTGCTCATGTTTGTAAACACAACATATCACCAAAAATGCTAGCTGAAATTACATGCAGCGCCCTCACAATCTCCTGAAGAGATTTTAAAATCAACATTTTTTTTATGTCAACCAAATCATGGAACGAAAATTACGACTACAAGCAGCGAGGCAGCAATACCGGTACTATCGAGATTATTAGTRATTGACAATAGGTCATGTTTTAATAATTATTCGAGTTTAGAGTTAATAGTTTTGAGGAATGTATTATAGAACATTAACTTGAGTAGTGTTTTTTGGAAGGGGATGATAATTTTGTTAGTAAAATAACTCAAGATGCTCTTTCTCAGATATTTTAATAGTGCTTCGTAAATTAAAAGACCATTTTGGAACAAGCAAAAAGCACCGGGAACAATCCACCTTCTTGCGTTAAATATATTATAGAATGAAGATATTTGTAGAACTGATTAAGATTTTTCAAGATAAAATCAAGACGTGAATGCATGAATAAATGGATGACCACAAGAATAAATGAATGAAAATGAATAAACGAATAATCARCTAATGAGAGAATAATTTCTGGTCACCATGAAGGAATTGGCTGCTTTTTGCTCTCAGAATACAATAGAATCGGATTTCGGCCTGCAGGTGCSCGSAACTGACATAATTCTAAGTGAACACTAATGGCAGTACAATAAAACTTTAAATTCAGCTTGATAACATAGYTTACTTTTCGCGAACAGTATTTTGAAATATATATTGTCTGTATTTGTAAAYTTTCTGATTAATCAAACTAAAYACGATGKTTTTTGACATTTTATCAATGGTTTKCTACTCGAAGTTCAAAACGCGAAAAAAGTCARTYCACATGCAAMAAACATATACTGTTGCTATGTAACAATATTTACTAATACTAAAAAACACACAACTGCTCTCTTCATAATCTTTGCCCAGTTACTTGAAGTGCGGGTTATCCAATTTTAGAAAAAGAAAACCCGCAGATGAAACTGAGAYATTTTTAAAAACTAYATTTTATTCYTTCGGTTTCATCTGCCAAAAAAGTCACTATACTTGATGGAGACTAATGTCTGCGGTTAGCTAAGCAGTAATTCTTGCATTGTTCCTCAATACTTTTAGTTTTACTCGTAAAACCTAAAATAATTCATCTAGTATCAAGTAACGTTTCTGATATGTAAAAAAGGTGTCAAACTGACGCAGCGAACTGACCACTAACTGAAAGGACCATTGAATCTAGGCACCCGCTCTTGTTCCATCCAACACTACTACAAACCCACAACAAAACTACGTTCAACAATAATAAACACCAATAAATAAATAATAGAAAAAGGTATTTCAAAACCTTCGTACTAGTTGAGATATCTTGCTCTGAAGACGCTTTAGAAAGGTAATTTGATATCAGCCTTTTTGAAGAATTCGTTTTCATCAACAGGTGGGCGAGTGGTGGACGGATTGAAAAATGAATTGTGTTTAAATATTTATGACTATTAACTGGAACAAAGCGAGCTCCCAACGACAGCAATGAATTAGAATGACTACATATGAAGGACCATTGAATTAGTGGCAAATTGAACCAGGATGAGGCATTAAAGACGATTGAACGAAGGGTATTTCTTGTACTCCATCATGTGGTGATTCGCCATGTTTATACAAACGAGATCATTGCTCGTTGTCCTTGCCTTTTCGTCTGTGGTTTTATACACGTTGGTGAACTTTATTCGCAATGATCTTTCCTTTTCAAACTGTCTCTACAATACACGGTAAGTTTACACAAATTGACAAATAGAAATACTGGAGCTGCTCCAGTAGTAACCACTGATGAGCTACTRCGTTCAGTGAACTCTATACATCGTAAATAAAGTCTATGACATTTCAAATCAAATCCATCAAATCACGGTATGAATCTCAAGAGTCTTAAAGAAGKAAAATATTAGAAAATTGTTTAGTAAGCAGCTAATCAACACAGCTAAATAATATATCAAATAACTGCGATAAAGACTGAAATAGTATAGTGTTCGAGTTTTATTCCTTGTGTCTCACTACATAGTCAAATATCAAATAATTCCATGATAAGTAAGAAAGTAAGATATAAACTCCWGTGTATACTAGTAGAAACCGTCGGACGTTCTAAAGTTGACCAGGGTAACCAACTTTAAAAATAAACAAAACTTCAAAATAAAACTTTACTGTAGCTCATCGCTTGATCTAGTGAAAAACATCGAAAATTAACGAAAACACACGAAATAACGAAATTCTTCTGAGCTGTTTTGTAAGCGCTGATCTTTGATTTGAGTTTTCAAGTGAGACTATTCGAAAAAAGCTATGGAAAACAAAAGATGATAATAACTTAGAAATGAGGAGTAAGCACCCCTTACTTCCATGTATTTTTTTCCGTTATTTTAGGCTTTGTAACCCACGAAAAACGTCTAAATTGCTGGAAAACCAAAAAATCATCTTATCTTTTGTACCATGTTCAATAACGTACTTTAATTTGAAAAAAAAAGTAATATTTGCAAAGAAAAAGTCACAAAACTGTGTAAATATGTAGTAATGTAAAATATGATAAGCAGCTGTACCTCCCTTAACGGTACCCGTCTAAGGACCACGCCCATTTCCATTTAAACTGGCCAAATCCCCTGCCGTCATTTACTGGTTGTCCCTACTGCGCTCTRGATCCCATTGTACCCCCTTCACCCCTTCCCAAATGAAGATGCATTCCCATCCGACTACAAGGACTCGATTAGCAACAAGTAAATTGCGAATAGAGTCCCAATATTCTAACATCGTTACCCCACCCCTCCCTCCCTTGCTTCCCGGCTTAACATCAGTCGAAGTCAACTTCAATTCTTCTACTATTATTCAGTAATTAACAAATACATCCAATTCTTTGCAACAGGATAGCACGTGGAAGCATGTTACCATGGCAATCAAAAGAAAAAAGAAGCGAAACTTCCGCACGAACACCGATAAAAACATCACGAAACAAGCAAAATCAGCCGCAACAACTGAACTCCAAATCCAAAAAATGCAAACGCGTCGAACATATTTTGTTTCTAAAAACTCATAAAACTGGAGGAAGTACTATTACAAACATACTAAATCGTTATGGTGACAAGTGGAACCTCACTTTCGCTCTTCCCAGACAAAAACACCTCTTYACGTTYCTATGGCCGACGAGGTTTCGCTTTTCTTACRCCGCACCTTTGTACAAGTTCGACTTGAATATTCTTTGTAATCATGCAAGGTATAATCGTAAACCGATGCACTGGCTTTTTCCTAAGAAAACGTCCAAGTATATTACGATACTCAGGCAGCCCATCAAGCAATATGAGTCTGTTTTCAATTTCATGCATTTTGCAAATCCACTTGGGTTCGCCGCCGAAAAGGACCCTTTAGGGACATTCCTGAAATATCCCCCATCATTTAAGGACACGCACCCTCTCATGAAGAAGACACTTGCTTTGCACCTGCTTAGAAACCCAATGATGTTTGATTTAGGACTTGATTTTAAATATTTTCAGAATAATACTGCTATAGAGAAGTATATAGACTATCTTGATCATGAGTTTGATTTGGTCATGATCATGGAACATTTTGACGAATCGTTAATACTACTGAAACAGTTAATGTGTTGGTCTTATGAAGATATACTTTACTTCAAGCTGAACGAGCGTCAAGACAAACACAAGCGTAAAGAACTAGATAAAACAGTTCAAAATAATATCCTAAGTTGGAACCACGCAGATAATTTACTCTATCAATACTTCAATCGGACTTTATGGAAGAAAATCAAGGCCCAAGGAAAATCTTTCACAAGGGAATTGGAAATTTTTCGCCGAATAAATTCGAGGATTTCCAAGAAATGCCTTCAAAAGGGTAATTTCCTGGACGAAGCTTACACCGGTGTGTACGTCAAGGGATATTCTCTGAGAAAAGATTTACCAGCTTCATTGAAAAAACGATGTGAAAACATGAAAAAGAATGAAATATCTTATGTTAAACACTTCCGAAGAAAGACTAGTGAGAGAATCATGAAAATGGAGGAACCCGACGAATATTTGGATGACCCGATGAACGATTGGGACATTACGAATGACTACGAACACATTCCGTTCATGTCCGGATACGGTTCGGCTTACGAAGATGAAACAGAGAAGAGTAAAAAGAGCTGACAAAGGAACACTTCTATAGTTGAAAAATTATCTTCTTGAACACTGTCGTAAGTTATGACGAGAAATAAATTGAGCATTATCGTAGTTTTTTCTTTAGAGTGCAGGATTTTATACAAGAAACGAGATTTGTATAAGTAGATTTTGCTTTACTTTAACTTTATGGTAAAAGTATTTAAACTATGATATGTGTCTAGGAGACAAAAGGACTTTGATCGCGTACAATCAACAGAAATATAATGAAAGTTAAAGACAGGAGGATTGACTGGAATACTAAAAACATTCCTTTGTATAAATTGTCTATTTTCAAAAAMATTCTCGATAATTTTGTCATTCATAATTTATTAAATTAAAACTATTTACATTTTTTCTTACAAATAAACAATAACCTGAGTAAACACTAGTTATATCGTTYACGACACTTGGCCGTAAATAACCGAGCCTCGCCCGARCAATAACCGAACATCGATAGCCGACGATTCGCAGACGGAAATCTACCGGGACTAGCCGGACTGTAAATATATTAAAATTTCGAAATCGAAATACAATTGTACGTACAATCAAGCACATTAAGCGTTCGTTGAGGGCGACGCATCTAAACACACTGTTGCGGCGTAAAATCGTTTTTTGTTCGGAGGTTGTTGCTATAGCAATGTCATTCATACAGATTCATATTCTTTCTGCCATTCTTTGTACTTATCCTGAAGTTGTCGAGCAGAAGGTTTAGTGTGAGCCAGCGCTGCTTCCATATCAGCGGTTGTTACAGGTTCAATTTCCAGCCTTGGTAAAGGTGTCGAACGACCGTCYACWGCAACTAACAAACAAATCACAGRCWTGGTTTATTRACTTGWAAARACACCTTTAAGAAACGCACACAATTCGAGATTCTTTACCTGCTTGGTGTCCTTCTAGAATATCAAATATCTTACGCACTTTTCTCATGGCTGCCTCTTTACAAAGAAGCMTGATATCAGAACCTGAATAACCAGCTGTCTTCTGTTAAAAATATAAAAATATAGTACAAAAAATAATAATATAAATATAAAAATATACACGATATACACAAAGAGACTCATGGGCCGAAGACAAGYGTAGATCATTCTTTCATGTATGGTAATAACTGGATTGTTGGAAGATGTTATCGGATGATATCACCTATAGTGATATAAGATTATTGTACCTCAGCTAATTTATCGTAGTCAATTTCWGTTTTGATATCAATTCCGTTTTCATCAGTAGCTGCAAGRACTGGTGGTAAATACTGCTTTAACATGGCTTTTCTTGCTTCAGCTATCGGAAGATCAACAAGGATTCTTTTCTCAAGCCTCCGTAGCATTGCATGGTCCAGCTCCCTGTTAAAAAAATAATTCTTTTAGTCAACTAATAGGGTTGGACTCAGGATGTTTTGAAAGAAGGGGTTTGTAGGGACGTTAGTGAAGTTTACGCGACGTGATGACTAAAATAAATCACTTCACGTCCGAATTGTGCACTTATTGGAGAATAAATTCAAATCTCTCATTCTTATAAGATAGGTTGCTTTCGCTGGATCCGCCCCTGATAAAAAAATAAATTATGAAAAAAAGACGTACATGTACAATACAATCAGAATATCATCAATACATCAACGCTTTATCATCAGCATCATCAAACAATAGTAATCACTACCATCCAAAACACAATTACTTGGTATCAATACCATGGTAGATTTGACGCAGCTAACAGAAAAACAAGATCATCAGATCGTGCAAGTCCATCCATCTGCACCAACAGTTCCGTTTTCATCCTCCGACTTCCCTCATGTTCAGATCTGATGATAAAAAAGGAACATTTGTCTACTGCATATCAATCAATCACTTGGACAATAATTAGAGAACAATCACTAAGTCTGTATATCCTACTCACCCCCCTCCCCCTGCTCCTCTTTGGCTCATTAGAGATTCTAGTTCATCTAAGAATATTGTAGAAGGGGCATGAAAACGAGCTAATTCAAACAACACCTGAAAAAAAAAAAAACAGACACTATATATCATATCATTGCACTTATGTTTGTTATCTTTTAAATTATATTCCTATGTTTTTAAATAGCAACAGAACAAATTGTGTTTTTTAATATTGTTTCTTACCCTGACTAACTTTTCTGAATCTCCTCTCCATTTACTAACAATTGACGAAGCAGATATATTGAAAAATGTTGTATTGCACTCTGTAGCTACTGCTTTGGCAAGCAAAGTCTTTCCCGTCCCTAAGATCAACAACAGTTAAATAGTAACTTCAGTACACCATTGACTAAATCAAGATGTTCACTCAAGTTGGAATAGAATAAAATATAAAATTATTATTGTCAGACAAGATTCACAAACACTTCACCCTGAAAGTGGAGACTCCTTTTCCTTTCCTGTATGAGCGAAAGGAACATGAAGGACTCTGGCTTTCAGGTTATCAAGACATATATTACATACCTGGTGGTCCATACAGTAGAAGACCCTTCCATGGAGATAAAATCCCACTAAATAGCTGAGGATACTGAAAAGAAACAAGACGAAGCAATTCATTTATTGTACTGTACTCAAGCATACCAAAAATGCTCATAGATAAGTCCTTAATGAATCCATGTCAATCATGCAACATTTTTGATACTGTACCTTGATAGGGTAGACAACAGCTTCTTTGACAAGTCGTTTGGCAGCATCCAGTCCTATGATGTCATCCCATCTTACAGCAGGATCATGAAGATATATATCCTGAAGATGAGAATTTTATTAGTTTGGATAATTATAACTAGTCTTGTCAACCACAGTTTTATATCAGTGAAGTCACAATCTGGTAGAATGTTGTACATTTTTTAATTAGATTTTTTAGAAAAAAAGCTGAGACAACTGGCAAAAAAAAGGACTGAAAGTCAGTCTAGCCATTGTGTTTCTTTTACTCACTCTACTTATCACAGAAGCCAGATCCCTCCATTCCCCGGTTAACCCTGCGAACCCTCCAAGAGGTTTGAGAAGTCGATCCTAAAGATAAAAGAAGATATCAACATTATTATTGCACCTACTGCTACATTATTTCCATAATATCACAAGCTTTGGAAAGTCATTATACCACCTTAGTTCCTTAATAATGAAATGCAGTGTCTTATCAGTGAAACAAATCACACTCCTGTGTAGATGATACACATTGGGACATGAAGATAGGGCTTACTAAGTCATGAGTATAGTAGTGAACTTACAGAATGATCCATTTCTGCTGACATGTAATCTCCTTTAATAGCATTATTTAACATGGCTCGCACATCTACTATTACTTGCTGTAAATAAATGATAAAGATTACAATAACTTTGTGCAAAGGACAATTGAGATGAAAGAAGATGTAATATAATAACTAAAATTATAGTAATTATTAAATTATCTACAAACAAAGACCAACCTTTCCATGTGTGTTGCTGGTAGACTGGTTACTAGGAAGTGGATTTTTGCCTTGATTAGTGATAGACGTTCCAGCCAAGTTTAAGCTGGTGGAGGAGTTTTGTGGGGTTACATCAGGTGGGGTATTAGCAGATGGCAGTGAASTCTGAAATGATATGAATGAACGAATGAATGGTATTGGACAAAAACAAATGGATGAAAGGGAGGAGRGAAGAAGACGAGGGGACAAATAGAGGTAGAAAGGAACAAAAAYAAGGAAAGATTGAACTTTCATCAGAAGAAAAGAAACTAAGAAGACTTTAAACATGAATTGTAAAGACTCAATTCACCTGTCTGGTYGCTGTCTTCATCTTTCTCTTGCCATCACTATTTGGTCTCTTGTTTGAGGCTCCTCCTGTTTGTTGAGAGGTTTCTCCACTTGTCCCATTAATGCTTGGTAAAGATATTGAATTGTTCCTTGAGCTATTTTAACCAATAATTAATATTA